TCAATGCATCATCATCCCTAAGGCACTTAGACCAGATATCGTCTTCAGAAGCCATGAAAGTCACCTTGGCATTGAAACATGGCTAAATAAAGCTCGAGATGCTGTCCTTTGGCCCGGAATGAACGGTGAGATAAGGGAAGCAATTGCAAAGTGTTCTGTGTGTGCAAAGTTTCAAGTGGATAACCCCATAGAACCAATGCAGACACCGAAAGTTCCAGATCTTCCCTTCAGCAGACTTGCAGTTGACATGTTCACCCTTCACAAGAAAGATTACATCGTCCTAATGGACTATTATTCAGACTTTGTTAAAGTCCAAGAGCTTAGTGACAGCCTCACCCACCATCTTTCAGTTTCTGAAGGAACAATTTAGCAGGCACGGAATCCCAAATGTTCTCGTTTCAGATAATGGCCCACAAATAACAAGCCAAGAATGCAGGACACCACAGGGTGGGAGTTCAAACATGTAACAAAGATTCGTGGCTAGCTATACTTGAATATAGAAACACGCCTGTGGATACCATAGATCCAGCCCAGTACAGAGACTCATGTCTCGAAGAACGAAGATGCTCATGGAAGACACGAAGACGGAGACTGGTCGTGAAATCATTCGTCGAAACAGGTAGTTTCTCAAACCACAGGAACAGTCAGCAGCAAATGGTGGTCTGGAAACTTCACACAAAGTTACCAAGTTTGTTTGGAGTACCTTTTCTCGCAGTGCCTATCCAAACAAAAGTTAGCCCGTATTTATCGGATCCTGCACCTGGTTTCGTAACTAATCCTGTATTTGATCCTGCACCTGATCTTGTACCTCACCCTGTACCCGTGAAGCGTACTCGTACCAGGATCTTTAAAAGCCGCCTAATAAGTTCAAGGACTTAATTTTAACTATTCAGATTTCAATGGACACAGAATCGCTGAATTCAGAACTCGATAAGTTTGTTCTAGTTTACTTTTATTTTCATTTTATTTTTGTTCTTTTTCAAAAAAAAAAGGAAGATGTTACGATATTTGCATATTTTATTTGATTGCGTCAGAGTTTTGTATTTCCGCACCATTTACATATTTGGTAGTTAAATTCAGTTTCTCAAGCAACATTAGACCAGACGAGACGTAAAATATGACGCTGAGCTCGAAGTTAATTTTTTTTAACGTAATTTTGGTTCCTTACTTCCTCTCGTTGAAAGGAGAAATACTGAATCTCAAAGCTGATGACCCAGGCGTCCTTGATGCACTTGATTTTGCCATGAATGAACTCAACGCTATAAGGAACAACTTGTATCGCTTGATGTCCACCAAAGTTGAGGACGCCATTGTGCAGGTGAAAACGCAGCTTTGTTTGAATCGATACAGATACGTAGAAGTTATCTATTTGCGGATTTTGCATACCTTATTAATAATGAACAGAGTAATGATTACTCTTTGTTAAGAATCTTTGTGCAAGAGGTTCGATCGATGTTGAATTCGATCACTGAGGCCTTCGAAAGGGAATCTTGATGTCACCTTGTCGCTCGTTTACCAAACGGTCAGTGTAAAACGCATATCGCAGATTGTGGACCGATGGTAAAATGCACTCGATTCTTTAGTTGAAATTTACCGGTATGGAAAATTCTGGTTTCTCTAAATGATTAACTTATAAAAGGAACTTGAGACCTTTTCTTGCTCTTAATTTGTTTCAATTTGAGGAAAACTTCGCTATTTTTTCAGTGAATAAAAACACGTCACAGCAAAACTAAATTTCTTAAGCATCCCTTGTCGCCACCAATTCAAGAAGCACGACATAGGTGAAGTTGACCATGATAGCCGCAGGTTTTACTTCAGTATCAACCACGGGTTGATACTGAAGTAAAACATCGAGCGGAATGAGAAAGTCAAAGATCTAAGGCTATTGTTAGAAAGGTTTTTTATTATGTAGAATCTTATCTCGCACCCACAAATTTGCATTGAATTTAAATAATTTGCACGCCTAACTGCGCAGCGCAAAACAGAGGTACGAGAAACAGGTTGTTAATGTCCAAGTAATCGAAATTGCGAATGGGTGATGAAAGTCTCTTGCTACTACTTTCAAAGCCAAACAAAGTAAATATAAGCCACATGTATGTTAAAGCTACCTAATGTTGCCAATCAGATTCTTTGCTTCCCATGCATTGAAAGACGATCCCGCTCAACAGCAAAACTAAATTTCTTAAGCATCCCTCGTCGGCCACCAAGAAGCACGACATAGTTTAAGTTGACCATGATAGCCGCAGATTTACCACGGGTTAAAACTGAAGTAAAACACCGAACGGAATAAGAAAGGCAAAGATCCAGGGATATTGTTTGGAAGTTATTAATTATTTAGACTCTTATCTCGCACCCACAAATTTGCATTAAATTTAAAGTATTTACATGCCTAACTTCGCAGCGCAAAACATAGGTACGAGAAACAGATTGTTATTGTCTAAGTAATCGATATTGCCAATGTGTCATGAAAGTCTATTGCTACTACTTTCAAGGCCGAACAAAGTATACATGAGCTACAAGTATGTTAAATCTACCTAATCTTTCTCAGCAGAACTGTTTATTCCTTAACGAGGAATATTTATTTAGCTGGCTGTGAACTGCACATTCAAACACTTACGTTTCTAATCATTCTTACCTTAAAACAATATGTCGACGCCAAAACCATCTGAGGAAATGAAGTTCATCACATAAATCACCGCGACGATTATTGTCCGCTTTTCTCGACTTTTGCGGCCTCGATCCCGGCTAACTCTTGAAGTTTTTATGGGGAAGTGGGTTATTTTAGAACCAAGTCGGCATTTCATCCCTGGTCTGCAATCTTTAGTCTGTATTTAATCCCTAGACAGCAGACTGTAGACCGCGGTCAAAAGACGGCTGCGGTTTGCGGTCTGTGGTTTGTGGTCTGCAGTTTACACCGACCAGTTTACCAACACTCCTGTTGCCTATTTGGTTCGGGACAAATATCGCTGTCACTTTTTTGCTAGAATAAAAATGTCGCTGTCGCACTAAATTTAGCAATACAGTAATTTGTGACTTGTGCTAGCGCCCATTATTTTTTTTCTTCTTGACATAAGATCAACTACACATAAATTTCTGTTGGCTTGAGCAGAAGTGAAAAATTACAGAGATCAGTAATGCTTTGTATTTTTGTGTTTGATTGTCGATCGGTGGCCCAGCTTTCTCAGCACCCCTCACTCGAGTACTTACGTGTATCTTAACACATGGTCATGAAGAAGACAATTCTCTTCAGATAAACGTCGTATTATTGTTTGAATAAGGAGTTAAGCAAGGGCCGATTCAAACGGCCCACCATTGTCGTTTGGCACTCATCTGACTAAATAGAATTGACAGGCCTGCGCGATTCGCACCATTTTTTTCTTCAGAATCTTAATAGCTCTAACTAGAATATCTTTTAAATACTCTCCAAGTACATATTGCACATTAAGGCGTTCGGTTTTGAATAAGGTGCCGTTTTTCTATCAGTGTTAAAAAGTGTTGACGAGCCTACACGACTCCTGCCATTCGCAAGTGAATTTGAATCTTCCACCTTCAATCAAATAAATGTCTCTGACTCAAATATCTTAGCCGGCCCGTAGACAAGTTTTAGTGCAAATGGTGCGTTTGAGGACCTAATGCACGAATTGACGGGCGCCAGAGGCATGAGATTTTAGGGGAGGTCCAGGGGCCTGCTCCCTCGGGAGAGATTTGGAAAATTGGGTTGTGCGAGAAAACATTTTGTGTGCTTTGAGGACCGTTTGAAGGCATCTTTTGTAACTGCCTTCTTTTGAATCACTGGTATCGAGTAAACAGACTTTCACGGCCCATGGGGGGAGGGGGGATGTGTGTACGCACCCGTCGCATCCCTTCCTTACAAGATCTGCTCTGTCTTGTTAAAGAGTGTTGATAGGCCTGCATGACTCACCACGGCAAACAGTTTTTCAGAGTTAAACCCTGACCAGATTATCTTTTTATGACTTCCCTTGTATTGCAATAACAGGGATGGCTTTGAATACTATACTACAAGGCAATTGCAGTATACCATAAGATCTGGATTTTTTTTACGTATACTGTCATGCTGGAAGCGAAAAAGTCTCTCCGTAAAATGAATGTTAATGGTGGGATTATTATTCATTATTAATTGACAAACACCGCTAAATCTGTGCCTTTGGAATTATCTGCAATTATTGCCCAGATTATTTTTCTTGACTTTCCTACAGTGACTTGTTTTGACCTTTTTTAATCTTCTTCAGAATGCACTGCGATTTCTTGTTATCTCTCCCCATTTCCTACCAATAACAAAGACAATATTGAGACTGGAAAGATCACGAAAGCGTCACACTGTTCTGGTCACAATGTGTCAGTCAAAGTGAAAAAAAAATGTCGCTTCATCGAAATTAAAAATGGATTGTTACTGTCGCAAAATGTCACTCCTTTTCTGTCGGTTTTTGTCGGCTGTTGATTCATCAAAACAAGATTTTTGCAAGTTTTTTTTAGCACTGTCACTTATCACCAATACCCTTTGGATGGCCTGATTACTAATGTGACGATGTTAGTAATTTGCATCCGCATTGAAAGTCAAGTAATTATGCAACTGCTTAAATCTTCCCGAAACCTAGCATTATTTGAGAACAAAAATACCATAGGTTAAACATGATTTATAAAATATTCTTACGAATGCGTGTTGAACAAAATGATGTACTCTGTTAATGTACTTTTGGGATTAATTTTATTGCGCGTGATAATTTAGTTGCTTATTGTTGTTTTGTGTTAGGGTCCTAACAGAACTTAAAAGTTGTAAAAGGTATGAACGATACACAATTACAAGCACGATGCATGTTCTTTCCACTGCTAGCTGCAAGTGAAAATTATCTTCGTTTTATTCACTCATGTGCAGTGTCATGTGATTTGATGTATTTTTGATTCTTTGTTTCGTGCTGAGCTAAAGGGAGGTACGGATTATAGAGGAAGATACAACTTTATTATGATATTACCAATAATGTATGTGACAAAATTATGCACTTCTGGCTGGCTGAAAATAAGTGCATTCTCATATAGCATGAATGCAAAGTTGTAACACAAGTGCAAATTACAAATAGGGCTGGTGCGCACACTATCAAAATTTCGTCTGTCTTGCCTTTCATAGATTTTTTTTCCAACGGGTTCGTGCAATTATCTTTGACAAATTTTCTATTGCTTTTTAACTCGAAGTAATGTTTTTACCTATACAAACACAGAATACCACAAGGGAAGGGAGAAAAAGGGTGTTATTTCATCAAAATGTCAATATTTTGCACTTTTCAGGCATGATAAAAATTGTGCAATAGGAGGGTAAGGTTTTGAAAAATAATACTTTTATGTGCTATTTCCAAAACGAGTGCGGATGTTTCATTGGGGGGATCCAAACACCGAGAAACAAATGAAAGCAGGAGGCTGTAGGCCGAGTGCCTTTATTGTTTTGAGGTGTTTGGATAACCCAATGAAACACGAAGCACGAGTTTTGGAAATAACTTCTCATGATTATTCTTAAAGAAATAGTAAACAAAGACTTCCATTTAGAATTGTTTGCTGTCCAACATTCCTTCCGTGATAATTTCAATATCAACGATGCTTTTAACCGGTGTAATTCATTTGTATTTATGGTGCGATTTAATTTATTCAGAGATGTGAAAGTTGCTGGAGTTGCCAGCTTTTACAAGTTGTCGTTTAGTCAGGATGTATACCGTAACAAGTCGTTCGAGAGATTTTGGCTGCCAAAAAGTGTGGAGGATGAGAAAAATGTGTTGATGATGCAGTACTGAAATCAACAGCTTATAAAACCAAATAGTCATGTAAGATTTTTGAGGAATGAATCGATCAGCGAAATCCTGTATTTTGGAGCCCGGCGGCCCTTTTACCACAAAAGACTTTGAAGAAGGAGTACAAACTTTGAACACAGCCATTACAGATATGTCTGCATGCAGTGTGAACTACTGGCTGTCGAAGTTCGTTCAAGAAGTACGCAACTCTTCTGGGGAACGCTATCCTTCCCATTCGTTGTACTCGATTATTTATAGACCAAAGCATCACCTTTGTGATGTGAATGGAGTGCAAGTTGTCATATGTCAAGTTAAATGATTGTGAAGTAAATGTTTTTGTAAATGGGCTTAAATAAGACAATGAAGCATTTTAAAAGGAAGGTTATTTTGAGTAATAAATATTCATTGATTTTGTACAAGTTGTCATTGTGCATATTTTAGGGTTTTTTACCACTCTCACTGGAGAGTGGTATACTGTTTTTCATTGATTATTCAAACACATGCACGTAATGTGGTATACATCTTGTGGTTGGTAGTTGACCTCAAAAATTATTAATGAGTTTGAGAAGTGCATGGAAGCATAGAGGGACGTTTTGCTTTTGGATGCAGATTGATTAAAGATGATAATTTTAGTTAGTTTGTTTGTTTTTTGAGTATCAGAGGTGATTCTCATATGGTTTTATGTTTCAGGTTGTTTCTGGCCGAAAGTTCTGTAATGTTTCGGAGATTGGCAATTCTCGAAGGTGCCGGAATGATAAAGCTCACAAGTCCGCCTCTCTGGATACTTGCCCTATTGACGCATTAGAGGTAGGAGACTGTGTTCTAGGGATATGCGGATGTCATAAGACTGAAAATGGCGGCAATGCTTTGTTTAGATAAATAAAACACGTTTAACACCACAAATTGAATGTGCAATAAATCTATTTGCCAGATAGGCGAATATTTAGATGTAAAGATGTGGAGATGTGCATATGTGTAGATGTGTAGATATGATTCAACTAAAAATAGATAATTAATACAAATATTTAAGTACAAATATAACAACAACTACAAGAACGACACAACTACATGAAATAGAAACAAACTTACGGCTGTTTCACAATCAGGGGTACCTCTTGAGGTCAGGAAGGTTCAAACATAAAATTTTATCTTTCAAGAAGTAAAAGTAATTTGTAGGTAGCTTCATACCATGGGTATACTGTCCTGAAATATCTTTGCACAAACTGCCTTATTTCCATTTAAAGAGGTCACTGCAACATCCTTCAGTAAAGGAAAGCTCTAACAATTAGTAAGAACTTCATCAATGGAATTTAATACATTAACTTCATTTTGGATTTAAAAATCAGAGCCAACAGAAGTCTGCACAAAGTGAGAATCATGTCCTTCAACCTAGTTACTAAACAACGGTTTCCAGTCAATTAAAATTGTAATTTCCTCCTAACATAGTAGGCACGCATAAAAGTAATCGTGATCTGCCATCAAAAAGTCATTAGTTCATGTGTAACTTTTGACTTTAACCATATCTTCTGCTGTAAAACGAAATTGCTCTCTCTGGTTGACCAGTGTAGGAAAACTAACAAAACATACTATGTTTTCTTGAATTGGCTCCCCGGACTAATCTTTCTTTCGATGTAAAGATCATTGCCATACTTTTTTATAAACCTCAGATGGGCTTCCTTTTCATTCTCTGTGATGTCAAGCACCTCTACCATGTGTAGATGTACACTTTTAGATTCATGCAACGTGACAGGAACACAATCTTCGATCCCAGGTGCATAGCTTGCTGTTGGTAAAGAAGGTATTGAACTGCTGGTAGTGGAGGTGGTGCTGGTGCTGGTGCTGGTATTGGTGATGGTACTGGTGTTAGGCTTGCCTGATTGCTTCTGAATGTGCAATTGCTTTGGTTCCAAGGGTGTGGTATATTCTTTATCTTGGCACTGAGTACCTTGTCTGCAGCCTTGACAGTATTTCTTCTTGCTTCCTTTTTTTTACATTTTTGCTGGCTTCTTGTTGATTTGCTACTGACGATCTACCAGGTTTAGTCAACTGTGTTACCTGATATTCCTTTCTCTTTTCCCTATACATTTTCATCCCAAGCTTTTCTTTTCTCTGTTTCTGCTTTTTTAACAAAGGGTGATGCTCAAGGTACTCCTTTCAAGCCTGTCTACTCTTTTTCTTTCTTTCTCTATCTTTTCGATGTGCTTCAGCAAGACAGACAGGTTCTTCCTTAATTCTTGCCTTTTACCTTAGCTTCTTAAGTGTACTCTGGCTAATCTGCCCATCCATACCTTTTTTTACTGTTTGCCCTCCTCTTTTCCTCGTTTTGATCTCTTAAATGCATTCCCTAAAAAGCTGGAGTTTGATTGCAGTCTACACTGCAAAAGCAGGAATGCTCAGTGCACAATGCCGCAGTGAGCCTCACTCTCATGTAAAACCTCTTACTTTATATATGGTCACTCAGGCGTATTGTTAAATGAGACTTTCTAGCATTCTTGAAATGTAAAGGTTCTTCAAGGTATCAGGGTATAAAAGGTTTAAGCTGTCCAGTATCAAGCTGATCATGAGTAAAGGGTTTCCTTTATTAACCAGCCTGAAAATGGTTTGCACATTTTCCAGCAGTTATTACAGTCTAAAATGTTTTTGCAGCAGTCTAGAATACTCTTTCGCAGAGAAAATCCAAGTCTCTAGTTAATTTACATTTTGCTCTATCATTTGACTATTTATAACACATCATGTTGTTAAAAATGGTAATTTAAGAATGTTGAGGGTATGGACGCTACATTTGGCAACAAATCATTAAATATTTTCTTACTTAATGGTGACAGCAGTCTTGTTTATAAATCCTGACAAGTGACAACTCTCCTCTTAAAATGTATACCTTCGTTAGATGAATTTCAATACTTTTCAGAGAGATAACAATAGGGGTATGGACACTACACAATTTTTGTGAAATCCAAGGCCTCAATTTCAACAAGCACATTTAGCAAGCTGGAATTGTTCCAGTCAAGTTCATACTTTTTCCCCAATTTCCCAGGAGGAAAACCAATCCTTTTATCTCAAATTTGTTTAGTTTACAAAAGTTTCTCAAAGATTTTAATACATCCAGTATTAATAGTTATTGTCAAAGTTAAGATAATGTGTAGCAATAGCCAGTTTGCGGATTAACTACTGGTAACTGTAAAATTCACGTGATTATTCCTTTCAGTTCATAGTAAGAGTAAGGGAAGGGGTTCAGCAATGTATACTGCACTTATTTGTTATGTAGGTGGGTGATATTTTCAAAGAAAGTTATCCTTATCATCTTGTATTAAAATATGAATTTCAAACTGTAACAGCGTGATTAGAGCATTTTTAACTACATAATTCTTCATAATTCTGCCAAATTGTGACGGATTTCCACGATTTTTTTATTTTGTTCAGCAAAAGATTCTTTTTCATACAACACATTCGCTGCTTGTTACCAGTTTGAAAATAAAAGCTTGTAACATCACACAAGTAAAAAGGGTATTGTTCGATTGTGAAACAGCCGTTACAATTTGTGGCACAACCAGGTCCAGTAGTAAAACTCTTAAACAAAAGCAACATGGCGCTAGCAAAGACTACCAAAACAACTGACTTAGTTGAGATCAACTAGCCATTAGAATTATCTAACGACAACAATGCTTATACTGGCCAGAAATAAATCGCTACCGGCGTTATGTAATTCTTACACAACCTTACGCAAAAGGCAAACTTAATTGAATAGAAACAGAACATCACAATAGCAGTTCAATTGAAAGAAAAACTATATAAAATCATTTTGCAGTTATTGTCAATAAATAGAAATTCAAATTTTAGTTGCCACACTTTGTGTCAAGGACTTAGCTGGTAGCCAGCAATATCTCAAGCCCGTAGAAATAATTAGTTTTTAACGGTTATAACGTTCCTTTCGCCACCCTTGAAAGGGTGCCACAACCCTTCAACTCTGAAGTTTCTTTACTAGGGTGGCAAAGGAGGGGGGAGGGTTTCGACTACACATCACGCCGAATTTTTCTATTAAATCACGCATCACGGAGAATGTCGTTAACCAATTACGCGTCACGTAAAAAAGAGTCAGTGCGCTAAGCTAATACCGTAAGATTTCAACCTATCGGATGTTATTAAAAATTATATTGCATCCACCGTTTTTTGTCTTGGAATGAATCGCATCTTACTCATCATATTGCTTTTTGTTAGGCAAACAAAGACGACTTTCTTTTTGAAACTAGACGCTCCGAGAGCGTTTACTCGTCTGAGCATCCAATAGTCATCATAGTTTATTGTTCAATAAGTCAGTCGTCGTGGTTTTGACAACGTTTTCGTAGTTTGAACTCATTTATGTCTCACCAGTTATTCCGAAAGAACTAGTATGAACTTTGCCAATTTGGCTACCTTTCAATTTACGGCCTCTTGTAGCTCCAACAATCTTGCGTACGAATCGAGTAGACGTCTACGCCACCATTACTATTCTTTGATACATGGGCAATATTTATGTCAAAGCTTTACTCAATCCCCTTCTGTACGGCAACTGTCTTTATGTCAGTAAAGGATATAACGTGGCTTTTAAATTCGTTTAGGTCTTTATGACGACCTTGGAAAAACTTTGTGTACCAGTTAGTTTTTCTTGTGTACGGGCTCATTGCTTCCTTTACCATCTCGGACGGCATAAAATGACACCAAAACTCTATAGTCTTTAACATTTTCTGCCGTTGAGGTCGACATTCTTTCAGATCTTTCATTCGATGCATTCGGTTTCTATCTGGTCTTTCTGGGTACGATCTGACGCACTACCACGACCAGGCGGTCGACAAAAATAACACTGAAGGTCATAGTCCTTATGCAAATGTTAACTATATTAACTTGTGCCTACTGTATTACGATTGTTTGGACCTACCACGAAGATCAAAGACATCAAAGGCCAAGCATAGGTCAGCAAAGGACTGAAAATACCAGAAAATAGTGACGCGGCTGTCGCGGTTTATTGATCTTCGTTAAGACCCTATTTACTTTGAATGATTGGTATCCTTCTAGGTCAAAGGGTGTTCACTTATCACGGAATTCTAATAAGAAGTCATATAAATCACGCATTACGCACTTGTAAAGTAGCAAATCACGCATCAAGTTGTTATGTGCGGTCCCGCGTCACGCAGATAATTTGGGTTTAATCACGCGTCACACTGCAAATTTTGGGGCCATCACGCGTCACGCAAAAACCCTTTGCCACCCTTTAGTATGAGTGCTCTTGTGGGAGTCACATATAGACCTATGACCTGTCTGCCACTGCAGTGGAATCATACAAGATTGTGGGTATCTAACATCTCATTGTTCTTGTAACAACAGCATGATTTGACATAGGATAATGGAATAGGAAGGGGCAGTGATGTTTTTGTAGAAAATCATATTCATTTGGTAGCTGCAGTTTAAAAATTGTTGTTTTTTCTCCAAAAATACTAACGCGGACTAGTAAGAGGCACCCTTGAAGCATGAACCCTGCCCATAGGATAGCCTGTGACGCTTATTAAAATCTAATCTGAATTGATATTTGTGTTTGGCAGAGTAAGTGGTGGTTAAATATGGCC